TATATATATATATATATATATATATATATATATATATATATATATATATATATATATATATATATATATATATATATATAGAACGGGGTTGTATGTGCATATAAAATCCATCTAATTTGCATTGTATTGGCCGCCTCTAAATATCAATATTTGCCACTGAGCATCTCATATCAAATGACCACTGATAAATATACTCATACAGTATTAAAAATAGTGTTGAATAATTTGATAATTCTATAGATCAGTGCAGCTGGTTGCATCTCTTTTTTTCTTTGAAACTTAATGTCAACTGGCCTAATTAGAATCTGAAATATAAGACTGATTACCCCTTAGCTAATTGATAGCTGGCTAGTTCTTAAGACACAGTTTTTGTGTTTATGCATCTGGCATAGAACCCTTTGTTTATTATACAGTCTTAGCAGCTGTAATAACAGAACACAGTTTTCAACCAGACAAGAAAGTTCTTGTTATCCAACTTTAGTCACAGTGAAGTGACAAAGCTTACATTAGGAATAGCATCCTCCAGCAGCCACTTGGACCTCTTCTTCCTCCGCTTCTCTGCAGGAACAGAGTTACTGCAACAGAGGAAAACGAGAAACATTCAAACGACATAATCCAGCATAATAACAACTGAACTAATTAAACTGTCAATCATCACATCATCTCCACCCACTAAACATGTCAATACAGATCTGAGAGCTGAAATTCCATTGTTTGGTGAAAATCTGTGTCAGTAAAGTGTCTACATGCATCTTCTTGTTTCTTAATCCAAATTGATTTATTCAGGTTTCCAAACATCCAACAAAAGCAAACAAGACACGGTAGAAAAACCATGTGCTTCCATAGCTGATCACAAAGAAAGTTATGCAACCTATAGGCTTAAATACTATATCTTCTAAACATCACCATCTATTAAAGAGACACTATGTTAAAGGGGTCATATGACGTTGCTAAAAAAAGAACATTATTTTGTGTATTTGGTGTAATGAAATGTGTTTATGCGGTTTAAGGTTCAAAAAACACATTATTTTCCACATACTGTACATTATTGTTTCTCCTCTATGCCCCGCCTTTCTGAAACGCGTTGATTTTTACAAAGCTCATTGTTCTGAAAAGCGAGGTGTGCTCTGATTGGCCAGCTATCCAGTGCATTGTGATTGGCCGAATACCTCAAGCGTGTGACGGAAATGTGACGCCCCTTACCATACTGTGATGCCGTGTCCGGAGCGACGAGACAAAAACAATAAAACCCATTATAAACGAGGCATTTGTTGCGTCCAGTGGGGACATAATTACGGATTATAATGACTTATACTGTCTTTTTACGCGTTGCGTTGCATCGCGCCGCGTAAACATAGAAATGACAAACAACAAGCGCTACTCCACACTGCCCAAAACTCGTGTTTGAATCATCAGTGGCAAATTCTTTAAATATAAAAAAACGTACTTACAGTCTGTGAGTCAGAAC